TTCCTTCCCGAACAAGGTTCGTCTCAGTTGATATCTTCTATCTTTATTACTTCCTCCCTTATATATTTTTTATTTAGGAAAGAGAGAAGTAGAGAGAGAGAGAGAGAGAGAGATAGATAGAGAGAGAAAGAGAGAGAGAGATATAGAAAGACAAAGAGAGAGAGAGAGAGAGAGACAGAGAAGGAAAGAAAGCTTTTCAAAATGCTTTAAATAATATCAATATTGTTTCCATCGTCATAACTTTAGAATAAGTAGTAGTTGTGGTAACCGTAGTAGCAGTCATAGCGGCAGCAGCAGTAGTAGTAATAATAGTATAGTAGTAGTAGTAGTAGTAGTAGTTTACAAATTATTATCAATAAACAATTTTTAACAAATAATATCAAATTTCATCAACAGAAAAAACTTCGAGCACATTGGGCAGGCTAGTTGAATTTTTTTTATTCTAATTATACAATCAATCAATCAATCAATCAATCAATCAATCAATCAATCAATCAATCAATCAATCAATCAATCAATCAATCAATCAATCAATCAATCAATCAATCAATCAATCAATCAATCAATCAATCAATCAATCAATCAATCAATCAATCAATCAATCAATCAATCAATCAATCAATCAATCAATCAATCAATCAATCAATCAATCAATCAATCAATCAATCAATCAATCAATCAATCAATCAATCAATCAATCAATCAATCAATCAATCAATCACAATTAATCAATCAATCAATCAATCACAATCAATCACAATCAATCAATCAATCAATCAGTCAGTCAGTTTAACCAATTAAAGTCACTGACCAATTAAACTACACCATGTTAGACAACAACACAAACAAGCATACAACACAAGCAAGCAAACACACAAGCAACCATAAAATACAACTACACATACAACAACACAAACAATCCCACACACACACACACTCACACACACACACGCACACACAATTACACATATTCAACCACACAAACACACCACACCCAAACAGCCAGCCACATAAACACGAACGCACACAAACACAAACAAACAACCAAACACACACACACACACACCTAGGTTTATGAAGATGGTGATGTTGGTCGGAACTCAGACATACAATTATTTAAATCGATTGGTGAAAATATAAACTGCACATCTAAATCTGTGACGGCAACATCATTGATTTCGCAATAAAATTTTATTACTAATCTATCAGTAAAACCTAATTTTAATACCAATGCCATTGAACTTCTACTTAATATATGCATCGTGCATGAGTACGATTGAAAGACGCTTCATACGTTTTTATGATTGATTGTGTGTGTGTGTGTGTGTGTGTGAGTGTGTATGTGTGTGTGTATGACAACGCTGAATAGCAATCAATATCTATTTATTAATTAATTAATTATTTTGATTAAAGGTATATATATATATATATATATATATATATATTTCAAAAATTCAACGCTACTTTCAACATTGTTCAACTTTTTCATATTTCTTTTTAATTTATTAATTTCCGAGAAATTAGACATTTTATTGTTTTTTAAAAAATTTTCATTAAATGATGATAATAATAATAATAACGTTAACAATAATAATAATAATAATGTTTTTAAATATTGTCAAAATAATATTAATAATATGTAGTTAATTAAATAAATTAATTCGCGCTTCTCGGCTGAGCGTTGATATTTACCTTAACAACCATAATATAAACAATCTTGCCGTTAAAATTTTAAAAATCGCGTTTTATATTGTTTATAGTTATTAAATTTACTTTATTGGTTTTCTGTTTTAATTAAATAATTTATATAAATTAATAATTACTTGTTCCTTTATATCAAATATCTTACATACCTTATATATAAGGCACTGAAGATGAGTTATTTATAACTCGAAAAAGCTATTTGCAAATTTATTTAAGGAAAATTTCTTAAAAAACAATAAAATGTCTAATTTCTCGGAAATTAATAAATTAAAAAGAAATATGAAAAAGTTGAACAATGCTGAAAGTAGTGTTGAATTTTTGAAATATTGCGTTAACAACAGTCTGTTACCAATATATATATATATATATATACATTTTAATTTATTACACTAAAACAAATAGCTTTTTTTAATTATTTGTTTTTATATATCATCATCTAGGTAGTCATCATCGTTCGTTTTTTCTCAATAAATATAAATATTGTTATTATTATTATTATCATCATCAGCGTCATTTTGAATCTATACAGCAGAAATTTCAGAAGGTACTTACAAATACTAATGCGAAACATAAAATGCCCACACAAGTTATCCGTCATTTGCTGCTAATGGATAATAAAAAAAATTGATGCCCATTTACTTATTAACGCACAATGAATCAGTCTAAAATTGTAACAAACATTAATAATTATTAACATAATTATTGTTTATTATTATTATTTTGTTGTGGCACTCCACATATCTTCATAGGGCAACGGCTGAGCTGCAGTTTGAAAGGACGTTTATTAACATAGAAGGATGTGTATAAAAACAACCACATGCTTTAAAGACCATCTCCAGAGTAAGCTGAGAAACACGTTGAACAGAATAGGTCAGTTAGACACCGCAGCACAATGGAAGTTACAGATTTTAGAATATTTTGTTCCATCGCAACTCGCATTTGATTTAAGAACATACGACATGCCAGTAACATGGATCGAAAAAAGCCTAGATGCCATGACCACGGAGTCTGTAAGAGATTCGCTCCCGGTCAGCAATAATAATAATAACAACAACATTAATGATGATGATGATGATGATGATGATGATGATGGTAACAAAGTAATAACGTTTACGATAAATATAAAATTGTTTTTTTTCATTCCCTGATAGTGCTAAAGTTCTTGGGGCATTTCAGGACACGGAAACTTGACGTATCTGTAAATAATAATAATAACAATAATAATACTTATAATAATAATAAATATAATAATAACTGTAGAAAAGTCGTGCGAAGGCTAGGGCATCTTTTGAAAGGAATTATGGATATTTGATCTAAGGGGTATGGAGACGATTTAGCACTGCATTTGCGAATGATTGCTGATATTTCGTGATATTGAAGTGGGATTTAAGTTGCAAGGTGTCTTCGGTTTTGAAATTGAAATTTTAGGAGCCCAATTCGGAAGTTGATGGTTAACGAGATTGTCGCCGTTTACGATGGGGCAAAAATAGTTTTTCCAGTAATAATAATAGTATTAG